CGCGTCTGCGTCACATGTCCCAGCACGGTCTTGTCCTTGGTCTCCCAGGTTCTCTCCCCGCGTTTCCCTCCTCCCCAGCCCCACCTTGCACGCCTTGTGTCGAGGGTCGGCTTCGCCGTGCCCCTCACTCCTCCTCGTTTCCCCCTACCGCCGCGCCGCTGCAGACCCTGCACCTTGACGTCTGGGGCCCCGCCCCCATCCCTGGGCCGCGTCGAGAGCGCTACTTCCTTGTGCTTGTCGACGACTTCACTCGTTACACCACAGTCTTTCCCCTGGAGTGCAAGGCCGACGTGCCTGGCGCTCTCATCCCCTGGCTTGTCTCTGCGCGTGTCCACCGCGGTCTCTCTGTCTTGCGCCTTCACTCAGACCGTGGTGGCGAGTTTGCCTCAGGTGTCCTTGGTCGCTTTTGTCGCGCGGAGGGCATCACCCAGACGTTCACCCTACCGGACTCTCCACATCAGAATGGGGTCGCTGAGCGACACATCGGTCTGGTCATGGAGGTCGCTCGCACCTCCATGATCCATGCCGGTGCACCCCATTTTCTGTGGCCGTTCGCTGTGTGCTACGCTTCTCACCAGCTTAACCTGTGGCCGCACCCTCAGCAGCCGCAGGTTTCGCCGACCCGTCTTTGGACTGGGTTTCCTGGTGACGCGTCTGCGTTCTACGTCTGGGGCTGCCTTGCTCACGTCCGTGCCTCCGGCACGGACAAGCTCACTGCCCGCACCCTTCCCTGCGTCTTCCTCGGTTTTCCCCTTGACGCGTCCGACTGGCACTTTTACCACCCGCCGTCTCACCGCTTCTTTCACTCTCGTGACGTCACCTTTGACGAGTCCGTCTCCTACTACCGTCGCTTTCCCCACCGTGGTCCCCCGGTTACTCCCCCCTGTTCCTGGTCACTCCTTCCCCAGTAGTCCCTGCCCCTCCTCCTCCTCCTCCCCGTCCCGCCCCCTCTGGTGTGTCCCACGTCACCCCCCTTCCGTCGGTGGACCCGGTTGAGGAGTCTTCTGACTCTGGTGGCCCTCCTATGCAGTCCTCGCCGGCCGCCCCTCCTACGGCGTCCCCTCCCCAGTCCCCTCCTCCGCCGCCGCCGCCGCCGCCGCCGTCGCAGCACCCGTTCGCTGACTCTGGGGGTGCTCGTCCAGGTCGCCCTGGGGGTGGCCCCCCTGGGGGTGCGGGTGTGGAGAGTGCCGGTGGTAGCCGAGGAGCAGCTTGCGGTCCAGGTGTCGCCGTTGTGCCGCCGCAGCAGCAGTCCCCGCCGGTGTCCACCCTTCGCCTGCTCGGCCTTCCGTCCCCCGACCCTGCGTCGGTTCCTCCCCGACCGTCTCCTCCTCTTCCTGTCTACGGCCCTGTTTTCCCTCCGCCGGACTCGTTCCCGGCCTGTCTCCCCCTTCGTTCCCCTCCTGTGTCCCCTCCCCTGTCCCCTGACCCGACTCCTCCGTCGCACGTCTGGTCTCACCGTCCCTCTCGTGCTCGTCCTGCCTCGCCTGTCTTGCGCTCCCACCCTATGTTGCTTCGTTCCCACGCGTCTCGTCCTCCCCTTCTGCCGTCGCGTCCTCCGTCCTCCCTTGTTGTTGCGCCCCCCCCGCTGTCTGACTAGCTTCGTGCCGCTCGTCCTCTTGTTCCTCGGGTCCTTGCCTCTCTCGTTACCGACCCGTCTGTTCCGTTCTCGTGCCTTGACGCTCTTGTCGCTGCTGTCGCTGACTTTGCCTCTACCCGCCGCCTTGACTACGCCACCGCTCTGGTCTCTGACCCTGCCTGTCCTCCGTCTGTCGGGGGTGCTCCTGCCCTTGGCAGTGACGTCCTGGAGGACCGCCAGTTCGAGCTTGCTTTCCTCTCCGAGGCTGCTCCCCATCTCTGTTCCATGCTGCTAGTCCCTGAGGGTGACCCAGACGCTTTCGACATCCCGACCCCTCGCACTTACGCTGAGGCGACTTCGAGACCCTGGGCCTCGCAGTGGATAGCTGCCATGGAGCAGGAGATGGCATCTTGGAGATCCACCGGCACCTTCGTCGACGCAGTTCCCCCACCTGGGGTGAACGTAGTCGATGGCCGCTGGCTCTTCAAGGTGAAGCGCCCTCCTGGAGAGCCGCCTGTCTTCAAGGCGCGCTATGTGGCTAGAGGCTTCACTCAGCGTGAGGGGGTGGACTTCTTCCAGACCTTCGCTCCGACCCTGAAGATGACTACTCTTCGGGTTCTGTTACACCTAGCTGCTCAGCGTGACTACGAGCTTCACTCCCTCGACTTCTCCACTGCCTTCCTTCAGGGCAGCCTACACGAGCAGGTCTACTTGCGTCGCCCTCCGGGCTTTACTGGCACCTTCCCTCCTGGGACCCAGTGGCTCCTGCGGCGCCCCGTCTACGGCCTGCGCCAGGCTCCCCGTGAGTGGCACGACACTCTCCGTGCTACCCTTGCTGACCTGCAGTTCTTTCCGTCTTCCGCAGACCCTTCACTCTTCGTCCGTGCTGGCCAGACTCCGTTCTACATCCTTGTTTACGTCGACGACCTGGTCTTTGCCACAGCAGACAGGGACGCACTGGCCTCAGTGAAGGCAGAGCTGCTGAAGAGACACACGTGCACTGACCTTGGAGAACTGCGGCGTTACCTTGGCTTGCAGATCTCCAGAGACAGAGCTGCGCGCACCATCACCCTGACTCAGTCACACTTGGTGCGCCAGGTCCTTCAGAGGTTCAGCCTTCATTTCTCCTCTGCACAGCCCACCCCTCTGCCTGTAGACCACAGACTCTCCGCTCCAGTGTCTGAGGAGTTGGTAGAGCCCAGCGGCCCCTACGCAGAGCTGGTGGGTTGCCTCATGTACCTGATGACTTGCACTCGCCCAGATCTCGCATACCCTCTCAGCATCCTGGCTCGCTTTGTGGCCACAGGCAGACACCGACCGCAGCACTGGTCTGCTGCTAAGAGAGTTCTGCGTTATCTTGCTAGTACATCGGGCATGGGGTTAGTGCTAGGAGGACGCAGGCCAGTGGTCCTTACTGGACACACAGACGCTTCGTGGGCAGACGACGCTGAGACACTCAGGTCTACCCAGGGCTACTGCTTCAGCCTTGGCTCAGGTGCCGTCTCGTGGAGAGCTACCCGCTCCTCGTCTGTTGCGCAGTCCAGCTGTGAGGCTGAGATCTACGCTGGTGCCATGGCGGCACAGGAGCTCCGCTGGCTGACCTTCTTGCTGACTGACTTAGGTGAGCGGCCTAGTTCTGCCCCGGTCCTGTTCGCTGACAACAGGGCCATGATCCTCCTGTGTCAGGAGCCTCGACTTGAGGGCAGAGCGAAGCACATTCAGCTGCGGTACTTCCTCCTGCGTGAGCTACAGCAGCGACGCCAGGCTCGCGTAGTACACTTTGTTGAGTGACCCGCTGGGGTTGCCCTTGAGATCCTCGGGGAAGGGCCACAGGTGCAGAGCCTGGGGGGCTATGGGCGCACTAACCCGCTATTAACAAGCCCTTTTAACCCAGTGGTTAGTGACTGGGTTTCTGACATGGTACATCAGAGCCAAAGGTCTTGGGTTCAACTCCCAGTGCCAGCGCTGCAGAGGCGCTCGTGTCTTCCACCTATCCCAGCGGGGGGGGGGGTGTTGAGTGACCCGCTGGGGTTGCCCTTGAGATCCACGGGGAAGGGCCACAGGTGCAGAGCCTAGGGGGCTATGGGCGCACTAACCCGCTATTAACAAGCCTTTTTAACCCAGTGGTTAGTGACTGGGTTTCTGACACACTTGGCCTCAGGTGCCAACACGGCTGATATCTTTACGAAGGCGCTTGCGCCTAAAGATCATCAGCGGCACTGTGTACAGCTTGGTCTAGTTCCTGTAGCCTCTCACTTGCTATGACCTTGACTTTGTACTGTCCTTTATATGTATACTCAGACTGGACTTGTGTCCTCTCCCAGTGGCTGGACTAGTAGTGCCGCCCTGCTCTTGTTCTTGCCTTGTCTGTACTCCTTCTGATTGCTCTCTCAGACCCTTGTCTCAGAGGTTGGACTAGTAGTGCCGCCCTGAGCTGCTTGTTTAGGACATTCCCTTATGCAGTCTAGGGGGTGTGTCAAACATGTGTATTTGTCATGTTTGTATAGACTGTATAGGGTCACCTCTTAGTGGGTACAACACTTAGGTATATCTATGTGTACTCTACTCTACCATTATTTCACTTTTCTAATTCTGATAGTTTTTAGTCTTTTTTTTTTAACAATAGAGCTGCGCAACCCTAAGACGATTTTGTCGCCCCTTGTGTTTTCTGGAACGTGTATGAAAGGGATGATCTCGCGCAATTTTTGTATCCCTTGTTGCAATTTTTGTAACGAACGGCTGATCTGTTTCATTCGTCGCCTTTGAATTTCATCGCGTGTTTGAAGCCCCCAAATGTTTTCGCCTAGCTACTAGCTAGACGTCAAAATTCGTTTGTAGACGTCAAAGTTCATTTATTTCCCACCTTTTTTTCCCAGGCTCAGCGCGCTAGGACAGACAACCCTTCGCGCTTTCATAGTATTAGACAAGCAATGTCCAAGCGCTGCAAGTAATGTCTGCCTTCCAAACATTATTCACCTTCCTGCCCATGTTTACCCTGCCAGCCATGTTTACCTTACCTTCCAAGCATTGTTCACCCTGCTGGCCTTATTCGCCCTGCAAGCCAAGCCATGTTCGCCTTGCAATTGCAAGCCAAACCATGTTCGCCCTGGGATTAAATATGCCCTTTCGGGGACAGAACTCTGAAAATCAACACAACCTGTGAAAGATCTCTCATATCTCCTACCGACCAAAGGTATTACATTTGGTGGGAGGGTCTGATTGGGGGGCGAGGGGCGAAATTTTGAAAGAGAGTGGGCGAGGGTTGCGACAATTTGAGAAATCGTGTCCAACTTTGATGAGGCTTCGAGTCTCGTATTTCTGCGGACCCGTATTACCTTTGGTTTGAGCTCACGAAACGTTGAGGGCGTGGATGGTAGGGGTTCGATTCTCAAAGTTTCGCAAGCGGTTGCAATTCCAGTGTTGAGTTTGGGCCGAAAATTTGTTTCTAGAGTCACTTTCGGGTTCTGATTCCGTGTATCCAGCCCAGGTTCCAAAACCTAGCTTACTGCGAACGCATTCTCGGGCTCGCTTTGCTGAGGTTGGATATCTACTCTCGCACTCACTTGTAAGCCCTCGCACAAAGAGCAGCTACGTTACCTAGTACCAAGCGTATTACCTTAGGAAATATGAGACGCGGGCTTTAACAGTGCCAACACAACCTACCGAAGAGCAGAGGGGAGAGGAGCAGAGGGGAGCGGAGTGGAGCGGTGGGGAGGGGAGGGGAGGGGAGGTGATAGGATTGAGGGAAGATGTAGGGACGGATGGGAATTATATAGGGAAGACATTATGGGGAAAGATTGCATGCGAATGGAGTAAGCATCCACAACTGCACGCCCCCATCCCCCCAACCCAACCCCCCACCCCCCGCTCCTCTCCCTCCCATTCACCCTGTCCCCTTCCCCCCCAGGCACACACCCATCCATCTTCCGCCTCCCGCCCCATTCCGAAACCCCACCCGCGCAAGAAAGAGCAGCCGCCTGGCTGAAGGGCGAGCTCTGTGAGGGATGGCGCACGCCACGCCTGGTGGCGGCTAGGAAGGGGAGAGAGAAGCACGGGGAAAGCATGGGAGAGGGGGCGAAGGACTCAGCAGGAAAGAGGGAGAGGAGGGGAAGAAAGGGGGGCTGGTAAATGGGGGGAGAGTTGACGAGGGGGAATGAGGGGGGCGAGATGATGGGGGACGGAACAAAAGGGGGGGAGAAGGGGCGAGAAAGAACGAGAGGTGCTAATGCGGGATAAAGGGGATTAGTTGGGAGGTCAGCCTGGCTTCTTGCCGTGCTTCTGTCATTCAAATACGGGAGATTGTAGTGGCGGTGGCTATGCCTGTTAGTATGTGCGTGTGTAGGCAGGCGGGCAGATGCACGAGAGGCAGACAGCGTTTGGCAACCCAGACCTGCCCCCCCACCCCTCATTGGTAGCCACAACACCCAGCCCCCAAATCCCTTCCCTTTTCCCCCTCATTGGCACCCCTCCCTTCCCGTGCCTTAACCCCCACCCCACCCCACCACCAAACCACCCCCCCCCCCCCCGCCCTTTTTCCTCCCTTTCTGTCCCATCTCCCCCCCCTTCACCCTCACCCCAACCCACCTGTCTGGCAGCCGGTCCAGCCAGGCGGAAGAAAGCTTGCCGTGCCTCAAAATTACATCGCATGCGCCACACTTTCTGGGGGGGAGGGGAGAAAGGAGAGGGGGTAAAAGAAAAGGAACAGGTGAGGAATGATGATGGTAGCAGGGAGGAGGGCAAACAAAGAGATAACAGAGAGATGAGGTTGCTTCAAGCAGTGACTGCATGTGCACGCGGCTCTTCATATGCCATGCAAGCATGCCAAGCCAAAGCCTCCCCACGCGTCCGGAAATGGAGGGAAGAGGGTTGGAGGGAGAGGACCGGGGAGGAGGAGGGGACACGTCTTGCATTACCCACCGACTCCACCCTTCCCCTCCCCTCCAACCCCCACTCCCCCTCCCCACTTCCCCTCCCCTCCCCCACACCATCCCCCCTCCCCTACCCTCCTCATTCGCCAGCCCTTCACCCACTTTCATTGCACATGCCATTACCGGTTATGCCGCCAGGTTCAGGTTAGGTTTAAAATCAGGCGGAAAGGGATTGCCGGGCATAAAATTGTGTGGCGCCGGACACGTGTCGCCCATGATGTTGCTTCGGCCGAATCAAATCGCGTGCTTGGGCGGGCAGAAACGTGCGCTCCTCCGTTCTGAGGCGGATTCCCACCCGCACCTCCGCGCCCGTCGGCGCCTCTCCGCGCCCCTCCGCGCCCTCCCAGACATGCTTCTCCACGCCTTGCCGTGTGCCTGCTGCTCGATCAACGAGGCTCCTTGGCTCGGCGTGACATGGACAGGCTAAGGGAAACAAACGACAGGGAATTTGGGAAGGGAGGTTAAGAAGGGACGGGAAGGGGAAGAACATCGGTGAGGGAGGTAAAGGCGTCTGAGCTGAGGCGAACCTGGCGCAGGGATGGCGGGCAGAGAAGCACACTGTCAACCAGAACTGAGGTAGAGGAGAAGGCTAGAAAAAAGGCTCCATGTGAGCTGGAAATCAGGCGCACATGTTCACTCCCATGACCATCCCACCACCCACTTCCTCACCCCCACCTCCCACCCCCACCACCCCCCCCCCCGCCCCTTCTCTCTCCCCCCTCACCCCCCGGACCCTCACCCATACCCGCACCCATACCCTCACCCGACATCCTTCCCCCCGCGCTGTCGACAGCCCCGGCGACGATGGGGCGATGCTTGCAGTCGCAGGAGCGCAGCTGACGCCATGCGCGGACGATGCCGCCGTGCGTGCCCACTCGTGCCCGCGCGCGCCCCGCGGATCCGTCGACGTTCTTGCTGCCGCCAGCCACACGCCAGTCGCGCTGCTCACCCAAAGCTACTCCTTGCTCGACATGGCAGGGGAAAACAGACGACGGGAAAGAGGGGAGATGGTACGGAAGGGGAGGGACGAGGGGGGGGGAACGGATGGGGAGGGAAGGGGAGGGAAGGAGGGGGAAGAGCGGGGTGAGTGGGGGAAGGTGAAGCGGTCACGGAAGTAGCATGGGCGACCGCGCTGAGATGAAACAGGGCGCACGGCGCCACCATGCTGCCGTTCCCTTCCATCCCCGTCCGATGCGAGCAATGCGGCAGCGAGCAATGCGACAGCGAGCAATGCGACAGCGAGCAATGCGGCAGCGAGCAATGCGACAGCGAGCAATGCGGCAGCGAGCAATGCGACAGCGAGCAATGCGGCAGCGAGCAATGCGACAGCGAGCAATGCGACAGCGAGCAATGCGGCAGCGAGCAATGCGACAGCGAGCAATGCGGCAGCGAGCAATGCGGCAACGAGCAATGCGGCTGCACGTATGGCGACAGCAAGCACGGCGTTAAACCGCCTGGCTCCAGCGCGCATAACCCCGCGAGTATAGCGCCAGCGCCCAAGTCGCCGCGGGCAATGCGGCTGCGCATATGGAGCCAGCGCGCATGACGCGATGACGATTAGAGAGCGAGCATGGCGTTGTAACGGCGGATGAGTGAGAAAACCCAAGGCGTGGCCTTGGAAGGAAACATGGACAATGAGGACTCCAATCCAGAAGCTTGGGGGAGTGGGTGCAAGGTGAGGGAGAGAGGGCACGATGAGGAGTCCCAAGTCACAGACGAGCCTACCTGAGTGCAGTATTGCTGTTCACCAAACCCTAGTCTGGCTACATCCTCATCACCAGATGAGTACTCACCCATCTGCCCAGAGAAACAGGATTCCCACCAAAATAGCATAGTACAGTGAATTTCCTTTCAATAGGAGGATCAGAGCATTAATACTATATGGGAATTATTTAAAAAAATGTATTTTCCAACTTCGTTCACATGTTTCCTGACGACATAAATTGGTGCATGTCATCTCTCAACTTCTTTCCAATATTCTTAGCAATTTGATGAAACCATCATGGCTAACGCCCTCCAAGACTTTTGGATGTACTTGAGAAAAATGATACGATCACAAGGGTCTTGGGATCTTCAGGATTCAATACTCGTTTATGCATACCCTTTGCGGAAGCATTGTGATCGGTTGGTGACCTTGCCAGTGTGATTTGTAACATAACAAGATGATTAAAACAAATGAGATCTGTGTCAATAAGCATACTGGTATATCTAGTTATATTAGATATGTTTGTTGTAACCTCGCTAGGACAGTTCTTAGAGGGGACAACACCATGTACCGTATGTTGAACTAAGGACGCTAGGCAGCCATGAATGGCGAGAGGATTTAGGAAGGGACCAACAGTTATGAGAGAAAAGAGTGAGAATAGAGGAGAGAGGGATACAAGGAGGGGGGTTGTACTCTACAGTAGGTTTCAGTAACACCTACCAAGCCTACCAATTATATATCAAAGATATAATTTAACACACCCCCGAGGCTTGGTAGCCGAAAGCACACCACATACGGGACACTAAGCCACACACACCCTCTGAATCTAGCACCCCCATACTCAGCAGCAGCGACGGCTATACCATTCTGTTCAATCCCTCGACGCGTGAGGCGGCGACGTCGACAGCAAGGGTTGCGGCGGCGACGGCGGCAGTGTCGACAGCGGTGGTGGCGGCGGCGTGCGGCGGCGTGGCCCCAACGCAAGCGGCGATAGCGGCAGCGGCGGTGGCGGCTTCAACAACAGCAGCGGCGGCGGCGGCGGCGGCGGCTTCGACAACAGCGGCGGCGGCGGTGGCGGGGCTCGCAGCACTCGGCGGCGTGGCCGGGCTCCGCGACGATGGGACGGCCAGCGGGAGTCAGCCATCGGTTGCGGCGAAGAAGAGGGGACGCGGGGAAAGGGGGGGGGGGGGGGGGGGCTTCTGCAACACGCCCGCGGCTGGCGTGCTGGCTTCAGAACCGGCGGCGCCTAAGACGTCACGCAGCCCGCTGCCGCTCGTCGATGCCGCCACTACAGCATAACGCCGCCTCTACAGCGCGGCATCGATGCCGCGGCGGTATGTCAACGCTGCGACGGCAGCTCGACGCCGTCGCCGCGGTGTGACGTCGATGCCACGCATCGGAAGAGCACCACGGCGCCGTCACTGCAGCGCGGCATGGCCGCGACGGCGGCACGAAAGTAGCGGAAATGACGACTGAAGTACGAGTACGCGGCGGAAGAGTAGGGAGCAGGCCCGGGAAGGGCAACCTGCTCTGTTACCATGTTGAACTAAGGATGCCAGGCAGCCATGAATGGCGAGAGGGTTTAGAAAGGGACCAAAATTTACGAAAAAAAGAGAGAATAGAAGAGAGAGGGATACAAGAAGAGGGGTTGTACCCTGCACAGTAGGTTTCAATAACACCTACCAAGCATACCAATTATATATCAAATATATAATTTAACACCGTATTCCCCCGGATATACGCACCGCCGGCTACCATGGTGCGTATATCTGGAGGGGTGCCATATCGGGTGTGCTATTTATACGCACCCCGCTGTTGGCAAGGATCTAATCCCTACACGCACCCCCATATTTTCCGTGCGCTGGCTAGGGTTGACTGCATTTTCTGTCAGATTCAAGTTGATATTCGCCTACCCCAGTCGTTTCTTCATACGGAATCGGTCTTTGTCACCTCGCCACGCGAAATCTGGTCAGATGTCCTCTGCTGTTGTGTGATGAGAGCGGAGTGGATGGTCGCGATCGACCCTTGCTCGCTCGTAAAGTGCAGCATTCTTGCCACTTGGCGTGCCAATCTACTGTCGAGCGGTTTTTGAGGGACTGTTCGTGGCATTCTCGTTTTGGAGCACATCCACCAGATTGGAAATTGTTCCAGCTACATTTTCATGTTCATATCTGAATTTTCCATAAATCCTTTATTTCGCACCATGCCATATGAAATCAATTCAATTATAAGCACCCCCCAAATTTTGACCATAATCCCTAAATGCACCTTGTGTCGTATATCCAAGGGAATTCGGTACTTGTATCTCCCCTCTCCTCTTCCTAGTCAAATTTTTAGCGCTATTCTAACATGGTGGTTTTGTCTAAAGGGTTGTACCCTCTAAGAGTACGCACCTATCTAGCCTAAAAATATATACAAATATGCTTGACACGTATATCAAGTGTAAGGAAAACAACGTCACCCAACATCCTGACGCGTTATAGTGCGGTTTTGTTATAGGGTGATGTGCGTTTGGAGGTAGTAACTCGAAATCAAATCACGATGTCATGCTATTCAAGTTTCAACCTACTTGATACACGCCCTAAGAGTAGCTCTTTCTCGAATTGGCCTTTCAAATCGAGACGTCTCCGCTTTCATGGACATGATAGAGACGAGGGTGTTAGAAAGCTAGAATGATTAGAATGAGAGAGTACAAGGGAATATATGCTAGTGTATTGTACCCTCTAAGGCACAAACCTATACAGTCTACGATAACATAGTAAGTTATGTTCAACACACCCCCTAGACTAGATAGGGCCAGTGCCTAACAAGCGAACAAGCAGCTCAGGCCGGCACTACTAGTCCAGCCTCTGAGGCAAGGGTCTAACAACCAGTCAAACGGGTACAGACCAAGGCAAGAGCAAGATCAGGGCGGCACTACTAGTCCAGCCACTGTGAAGAGGCCACAAGGCCAATCAGGGTAAAATATATATAAAGGTTTGTACATAATCAAGGCCCTAGCAAGTGAGAGGCTACAGGAATGAGACCTAGCTGTACACAGTGTCGCTGATGATCTTTAGCCGCAAGCGGCTTCGTAAAGATATCAGCTGTGTTGGCACCGGAGGCCAAGTGTAGTACGCGAGCCTGCTGGCGCTGCTGTAGCTCGCACAGGAGGAAGTACCGCAGCTGGATGTGCTTCGCTTTGCCCTCAAGTCGAGGCTCCTGACACAGGACAATCATGGCCCTGTTGTCAGCATACAGGACCGGGGCAGAGCTAGGCCGCTCACCTAAGTCAGTGAGCAAGAAGGTTAGCCGGCGGAGCTCCTGTGCCGCCATGGCACCAGCGTAGATCTCGGCCTCACAGCTGGACTGGGCAACAGACGAGGAGCGAGTAGCTCTCCACGAGACGGCACATGAACCAAGGCTAAAGCCGTAGCCCTGCGAGGACCTGAGGGTCTCAGCGTCATCTGCCCAAGAAGCGTCAATGTGCCTAGTAAGGACCACTGGCCTGCGTTCTCCGAACACTAACCCCATGCCCGATGTACTTGCTAGATAACGCAACACCCTCTTAGCGGCCGACCAGTGATGTCGTCAGTGTCTGCCAGTGACCACAAAGCGAGCCAGAATGCTGAGAGGGTATGCGAGATATGGTCAAGTGCAAGTCATCAGGTACATGAGGCAACCCACCAGCTCTGCGTAAGGACCACTGGGCTCTACTGACTCCTCAAGAAATAGAGCAGAGAGCTTGTGATCTACTGGCAGAGGTGTGGGCTGTGCGGAGGAGAACTGGAGACAGAACCTCTGAAGGACCTGGCGCACCAAGTGTGACTGGGTGAGAGTGATGGTGCGCGCTGCTCTGTCCCTGGAGCTCTGCACGCGAAGTTAGTGGCGCAGTTCTCCTAGGTCAATGAAGGTGTGTCTCTTCAGCAACTCTGCCTTTACGGAAGCCAGAGCGTCCCTGTTTGCAGTGGCGAAGACTAGGTCGTCTACGTAAACAAGGATGTAGAATGGGGGTCTGGCCAGCACGAACGAAGAGCGAGGGGTCTGCAGAGGATGGAAAGAACAGTAGGCTAGCAAGGTTAGCACGCAGTGTGTCGTGCCACTCACGGGGCTCCTGGCGCATGCTGTAGACTGGGCGCCGCAGTAGCCACTGGGTCCCAGCAGGGAAGGTACCAGTGAAGCCCTGAGGGCGGCGCAGGTAGACCTGCTCGTGTAGGCTGCCCTGAAGAAACGCAGTAGAGAAGTCGAGAGAGTGTAACTCGTAGTCACGCTGTGCTCCTACGTATAGCAGCGCCCGAAGAGTAGTCATCTTCGGGGTCGGGGCGAACGTATGAAAGAAGTCCACCCCCTCACGATGTCTGAAGCCTCTAGCCACGTAGCGCGCCTTGAACACAGGCAGCTCTCCAGGAGGGCGCTTCGCCTTGAAGAGTCACCAGCCATCGCCTACGTTCACCCCAGGTGGGGGAACTGCGTCGACGTAGGTGCCGGTGGATCTCCAAGATGCCATCTCCTGCTCCATGGCAGCTATCCACTAGGAGGCCCAGGGTCCCGAGGTCGCCTAAGCGTAGGTGCGAGGGGTCGGGAAATCGAAAGCGTCTGGGTCACCGTCAGGGACTAGCAGCATGGAACAGAGATGGGGAGCAGCCTCGGACAGGAAAGCAAGCTCGACTGCCGGTCCTCCAAGATGTCACTGCCGAGGGCAGGAGCACCCCCGACGGACGGAGGACGAGCTGGGTCAGAGACCAGAGCAGTGGCGTAGTCAAGGCGGCGGGTAGAGGAGAAGTCAGCGAATGCAGCGACAAGAACGTCAAGACACGAAACAGGAACAAACGGGTCGGTAATGAGAGTGGCAAGGACCCGAGGAAGAAGAGGACGAGCTGCACAAAGGTAGTCAGACAGAGGGGGAGGCGTGACAAGAAGGGAGGACGGAGGAGGCGACGGTAGAAGGGGAGGACAAGACGTGTGGGAACGGAGCAACAT